ACGCACAGACAGGCACGCACGCACAGACAGGCACGCACGCACAGACAGGCACGCACACAGAGACACACACACCCACACACTAAATGCTGTCAGTGATCACATTCCCATCAAAATGTAAAGACCCCTGGGTAGTATCTCCTGGCCATGAATAATCTATAAGCCCTTGGATGCGAACCAGCCGTTAGCAAGCATCATTTGTCGGCTGTTGGATAGCAATATGGCAGCTTCCTCACTTCCCTTGTCCTGTCAGCATTATCCCTGAACAGGTGCCTGAAGCAGGTCATTCACTCGTGGTCACCGCGCTGCCTGTGGGAGCTTGCTGTGCATACATCAGTGCTGTGTCTCCCACAATGCAGCAGGGACAGCACTTTGGGAAGCTGCAGGGATGTGACAGACACTGTGTAGGAATGTCAGTTTTGTCAGGTCAGAGGTTGTTACTCTGGTAATATCCTCCTTCAGCCAATGAACCTCCTGGTGGTTTTGAAACACACAGGTCCACAAAACCCTAGCCAGTGCCGAGCTAATGGGCAAAACTTGTGAGAAGTGTTGTAGATTTTTGGAAGCTGGCAACATTAACCAAAACCTCTTGTTTGTTTCTGAACAGCAAAAGACTGGGAGTAACATCAATGTGCTGTACTCCACCCCGTCCTGCTACCTGTATCAGTTAAACAGGGCTAACCTGACCTGGTGAGTCTCAAACTGTGTGTCTGCAACCTCCCCTCCATTGCCTGAGAGCACTGATTCTAACTAACGCACTGTCTCTCAGGTAGCGGCAGCCCTAGTCTCATTAATAGGAATACAGGTTAGACAAGATCAGGGTCTGTCTTCAGATAGTGTTGGAGAAGCTCAGCAGGTCTGATAGCATCAGTGGGGAGAGAGACAAGAGTTAATGCTTCTGAAGAACTGAAGAAGAGTCATAATGGACTTAAAACATTAACTCTGTATCTGCCTGACCTGCTGTGTTTCTCGAAATATTCACAAACTAATTCCCAATTTGAATCAGCCCAGATGGTCAGTGAAGTCTCTTAGTATTCCATAACTAAAATTGATATCACACTGAATATGTTTAGTAAGTTTGTGCATGACACCAAGATTGGTCGTATAATGGACAATGAAGAAAGTTATCTAATATTACAAAGAGATCTTGATCAGTTGGGTCAGCTGAAAAGTGGTAAATGGATAAATTTGGATAAATGTGAGGTATCGCATTTTTGTAAAACAAACAAGGGCAGGACTTGTGCATTTAAAAGTAGAGCCTTGGGTAGTGTTGTACAACAGATACCTAGGGATTCAGGTACATAATTCTTTGAAGTTTGCATCACATGTAGACAGGGTGGTTAAGAAGGTGTTTAGCACACTTGCCTTCATTGCTCAGACCTTTGAGTACTGCAGTTGGGACAATATGTTGAGGTTGTTCTAGTCTCCCTGTTATAGGAAGGATGTTATTAAGCTGGAGAGGGTTCAGAAGAGTTTTACCAAGATGTTGCCAGGAATGGAGGGTGTGAGTTATAAGGATAGGCTGGGACTTTTCTCACTGGAGTGTAGGAGGTTGAGGGGTGACCTTACAGAAGTTTATACAACCATGAGGCGTACAGATAAGGTGAATGGCAGGTGTCTTTTCCTTAGGGTGGGGGATTTCAAGACTAGGGGACATATTTTTAAGGTGAGAGGAGAAAGATTTAAGAAAGACATGAGAGGCAATTTTTTTTTACACCGAGTGGTTCGTGTGTGGAATGGCCTTCCAGAGGAAGTAGTGGATGTGGGGACAGTTACAATGTTTAAAAGACATTTGGACAAATTCATGAATAGGAAAGGTTTGGAGGAATGTGGGCCAGGAGCAGGCAGGTGGGAATGCTTTAGTTTGGGATTATGGTCAGCATGGACTGGTTAGACCGAAGGGTCTGTTTCCGTGCTGTATGACTCTATGACTTTGTGAGTACGTTTATTGCAAACGACTGGTGGAGGTTTAACCTGAGGGTCACCGTACCTTGGACGAGGGGAGACATTGAGAAGGAGTGTCCTTCATGGTAACTTTAGCTGGTATGGGAATCAATCCCTCACTGTTGGCATCGTGCTGCACCACAAACCAGATGTCCAGCCAACTGAGCAAACTGAACCCTAACTGCAAATAACTTCCAATAATAACACATTCTTCCTGTCACAGCCTCATTATTGTTACCAAACTGAATATTCCTCACTCACTATAAACTCTGCCATTGGGAATTCAGCTAATTTTACACAAAATTATGTTAAAAATCAGTTTAAAATGTTATTAAATGTAAGCCCTGAGCTATGGCCACCATTTTGTGTTGTCAGCAATGTGGAAGCAGTTGTGTAACTGTATGCTTTTCCCATTTGATAGGTCGGTGAAATCCGATGATTTTTTCCCCTATGCGGATGGGCCCCATCAGTTCTGGACGGGTTATTTCACCAGTCGTCCAGCTTTAAAACGGTACGAGAGGCTGAGTAACAACTTCCTCCAGGTGAGGCCCGCTTTGCAAAGAGACACAGAACGAGAGGGGCGTCAGTGTTGGTGGGGGGAGCGCAATGCTCTTAATAAAACCTCTCAAATCCTAATAAAGCAGCACAGCCTGGTGTCGGCAAGATGGTCCCCGGGGACAGGATGGGAATGGGTTCCAGAACCTGGACTCACTCTCTGATGTGGGGAGGGCGGGGTAAGACCGTTTTGGACCTGGGCAGAAGCTCAGACAGCAATGAACCTGTGGACCTCCCCATCACAGAAGGGAGTGGAGGACAAATCGCTGAATATGTTTAAGAAAGGGATCAGTATCCAGAAGTGAAAGGTGGGGAGGTGATGGCCTAGTGGTATTATCTCTGGGCTGTTAATCAAGAGACATAAATAAATGTTTTGGGGACCTGGGTTCAAATTCTGCCATGGCAAATGGTGGAATATGAATTCAATTTTTTAAAAAATCAGACTTAAGAGTCTAATGATGACCATGAATCTATTGTCGATTGTTGGAAAAACCCATCTGGTTCACTAGTGCCCTTTAGAGAAGGAAACTGCCATCCTTACCTAGTCTGGCCTACATGTGACTCCGGACATGTGGTTGACTCTTAACTGCCCTCTGGGTAATTAGGGATAGGCAATAAATGCTGCCTGGTCAGCGACACCCTCATCCCGTGAATGAATAAATAAAAAAAGATGTGGAGGGATATGGGGAGAAAGCAGGAATGTGAGTTGGAGATTGAGGAACAGCCCTGACTCCATAATGAACTGGAATTGATGTAGGAGAACTTGTGAATCATGAGCGAGTTGTGAGGCTTCGTGTAGTCATTGCCACGTTCCTGTTTCTCGACATCTGCTTCCTTTCTAGGTCTGCAACCAGCTGGAGGTTGTGGCAGCTTCTGATTCTCGCAGTGGTCCTTTTGGTGTTGGAGACAGCTCAGTGCTGAGTGAGTCCTACTCCTGGATCTACCTGACCTCCCCACCTCCGCTACCCCACCGCCGTCTGTATCACAGCAAAGCCCGAGATTACACCACTAGGCACAGGCGATGTGTTCCTCAGCTGTCTCATCCTGCACAGAGTACACACTTGGGAGATATTATTATTACAAACAGATGCATGAGTGCCTACACTCCATTTCAATCTCCACATCCAATTCCTGATGAGTTCCCTCTGTGGGTGAGGTCTGTGCTGCGGTTAATACCCAACGTGTGGATTTTCAAATGTGTGCAAGTGTCCATCGACCTGTGATTTTGCACTGGATGCGATTTGCACCAGAACTTCCATAATCGGTTTTGATTTTTTTTGGGCAAATTGCACCAAAAGCATCAACGTGATTAAGAAGAAGCTCCTGATTTTAGTCATGTCTTTGTTATGTTTTCTATAAGAAAGAGAGAGCTAAGTGCTGAATCTCAGTGCTGGTGATCAGTGAGATACTGAGCCAGAGGTGGCTGTGATCTCTATGACAGGTTATTAACCGTTACTCTGTGTAGTGTTGCTGTGTCCTTTGCTGCCCCTGTCTCGGGTTTAAGAATGTCCGTTTTGAGAGTGTGGCGGTAATGACGTGTATTTTATACTTAGGGAAGGCTATGGCAGTGGCCCAGCATCACGATGCTGTTTCTGGGACAGAGAAGCAACACGTGGCAAATGATTACGCCAAGAAGTTGGCCAAAGGCTGGGATCAGTGTGAGGTAAGAGCAGATCTGACCCTCCACAGCTTCGATGGAGAAGCCGAGGGCCATAAGGTGATGCTGATGGGGGAAAGTCGCTGGCTGAATTTTTGTCAGTTGACACCCAGGTTGGTTTTCAGAAGCCTACAGCCAGGCAAGGAGCATAACAAGCAAGAGCAGGCACGAGTCCTACAGCCCACGGAGCTTGCTCTGCCGTTTCCTAGAATAGGAGCTGGTTTCGGGCGATACGCTGGCTCAGTGATTAGCACTGCTGCCTCACAGTGCCCTGGACGTGGGTTTGATTCCAGCCTCAGGCGACTGTCTGTGTGGAGTTTGCACATTCTCCCCGTGTCTGCGTGGGTTTCCTCCGGGTGTTCCGGTTTCCTCCCACAGTCCAAAGATGTGCAGGTTAGGTGGATTGGCCATGCTAAATTGCCCATAGTGTTTGGGGATGTGTAGATTGGGATGGGTCTGGGTGGAATGCTCTGAGTGTCAGTGTGGACTTGTTGGGCCGAAGGACCTGTTTCCACACTGTAGGGATTCTATGATGTTCTACTTCATTTTCATTCCCCACAGTTTGATGTGCCCCACAGCCTGTCGATCTCAGTCTTGCATGTGCTCGATGACCGATTGTTCAAAATACTCCAGAGCCGAGAATTCCAACAAAATTTTGAAAAGTGGGCTCTCATTCCGAGACAATAAGGAAAGACCTGAGGGAAAGCAACTCGATAGCTCCGAGGATGTGGAGTCGGAGGGGGAGGAGATGTGTAGACTTGAGTTTGACACAATAAAGACGTAGAGAGACAAACGCAGAAGTTGCCGGAGAAGCTCAGCAGGTGTGGCAGCATCTGTGGAGAGAAATCAGAGTTAACGTTTCAGGTCCAGTGACCCTTCCTTGGTGACATTTACGCCATGTAATGAGCATCTCCCACCTCAGCACGTTCCACACCAGACAACGCTGGGGCATTGTGAATGGCTATGATCAGGAAAGTTGTATTCAAAGTGAAGGGCTTTGCTGTTGAAGGTTAGTCCAGTGTTGCTTGTTTTAGGAAGGGTCACCAGACCCGAAACGTTAACTCTGTTTTTTCCTTCCCAGATGCTGCCAGACCTGCTGAGCTTTTCCAGAAAATTTCAGTTTTTTTTTCCTGATTTACAGCATCTGCAGTTCTTCTGGGTTTTTGCTTGTTTTAGTCTTTGCTTTCTTGTGTTTGCAGGTGCTGGTTAGCAACGCTCTAATGAGTCTCAGTGGAATGAAACAGAATTTCATTTTCTGTGACAAACTCAACATCAGCGTCTGCCCCGCCATCGAAGAACTTAGTGAAGTGAGTGATCGAAGGTCAATGTTCACTCCCTCCCTTCCCAAACCGTCCAGTCTCCCTACCAACCCCTTGTCCATCATACCATTGGACCTCAGTAAACGTCATTTATATTTCAGTAACAGTTCCTGTCTTGCTTTGCTTTTTATTTACTGGCTGTTGGTGGTGGTGGTTTGGCAGGATGTAAAGTTGATGATCCCCTGCTATGTCTCTATCTGCAGTTTACAGTTACTGTGTACAACCCCTTGGCCAGAGCAGTGAGTGTGTACGTGAGAATCCCAGTCAATGGCACTGACTATACAGTTTATGACCCCAAAGCAAGTTTGGTACCAAGCCAGGTAACCAAAATCTTCAAACAAACATCTTTTTTTTAAAATAACTACCTGGATATGTCTGAAGACTTGTAAGTGTAATGCATGCTGTTGTCAGTGATTTACTCTGAAGCTGCAGGCTTCGATTTGCAACATGTAACGATGTTTGTTATAAATATAATGTACAAGTCTGGAATGAATTGATAACTTCTCTCTTTCTGCATCTCCGTCTCTCTGAAGCTGTCTGTCCCTGTCTCCTTTTCTGTGTCTCTAAACCTCTCTAACTTTAACACACTTTTTTTTTTCCTCTCTCTGCGTCACTCTCTCTGTGTCTCAGGTGGTTGCTGTATCGAACTTTACGAAGCTCCTGAGGAAAGACCGTGGCTACGCAGTTAATGAGTTGGTGTTCCAGGCCAGGTCACCAGCACTGGGCTTTAGCAGGTACAGCGTGTCCAGGAAGCCGGGTAGCCCCGTGCTCAGCACACTGACCAGTTCAGCGAGCAAACAGCAGCATCAGAGAACAGGCCTCACCATTGAAAACGAGGTAAGCACTCAGAATGCGGTTGTCACCTGTCTAGGGTTTGATACAGGGGTGCAGTTATCTGGGAAGGGGTATGTGCCCCTAAGCTTTTCCAGTGAGAGCCCACAGGATATTTCCCCTCAGACCCAAATGGCCCAGGAGGAGGCCATTCAGCACACTGTACCCATTGCCAACTGTTTGAGAGAGCTCTCTGACAGAGTCCCACACTTCATGTTTGTAATGTTCCCTTTATAATGTGCTCAATCTGCACATTTCAGATTAACATCACTCGCTTCTCAGAAACGATCCGCGGCAAACCCCCACCCCCAAGGATATTACAGCGAATATTTTGTGCTTCATTGGACAGCTGCGCGTGTACATTTGACAGTGCGGGTGAGGCTTGAGCTCAGGGCTAAGGACTCCAGCCCTACCCCACATGGCGAACCCCAAACCCTTGGCAGCGAACAGCCAGCCCCATGGTCTGTGGCTGAGTCTCAAACCACCAGTTTGTATCATTTCGGAAAACTGGGGAAAATTCTCCCATTCCAGTCCACTGGAGAGTCTGCCTGTCTGTGTGAGAGGCGGTGTGGGGAGGAGAGAGAGCCTGCCTGTCCATGATTCCTGTGTAGTTGAATAGCCTCACTCCCCAAGGAGGTGAACTCTTTCCCTGCTGCTGTTGCTGGGGACCTCCAGCCTGGGAGACTCTGGTTTCTTGATACGTGTCAACCATTAAAATTCCATCGCCAGCACTGAAGGGTTTAACAATGTAACCCAGCCACCAATACTGCTCTCATGTTCTGTATGCAGTATATTCGAGTGCTGTTTGATGCAGACACCGGTCTCATCAGTGGGATTGAGAATCTGCTCAAGAACTTTTCTCTACCCGTTTCTCAGAGTTTCCACTGGTGAGTAACTTCCTATCGTGTCTCTCTGTGTGTCAGTTAATGCGATGTTGTTAATCAGCCTTCGGATCCTACACTCTGCTGTGACTGTGCCTTTGAGAGCACAGAAAGATCCTTCGGCCCATTCAGTTCCTGCTGATCACTGTGGGATTTGTAACACGGAGCTAGATTGTCTCTACATTTATTCACTTCATACACTGTTCGCTGCAGGCTCTCCCTGTGAGTGTTTAGTTGTACAGCAGTTGTATATGGCTGTGGCTCAGTGGTTAAACACACCTCATGGTGTGGTACCGAGTCACACAGGAGACAGGTCCCATTTCTCAACTGGCATGATGCAAAGGTCCCTGTAACCTCCCTAATAGGGGTGACTTTATAGAGGTTTATAAAATCATGAGGGGCATGGACAGGGTGAATAGACAAGGTCTTTTGCCTGGGCAGTGAGTACAAAACTAGAGGGCATACGTTTAAGGTGAGAGGGGAAAGATTTAAAAGGGACCTAAGGGGCAACTTTTTCACGCAGAGGGTGGTGCATGTATGAAATGAGCTGCCAGAGGAAGTATTGGGGGCTGGTACAATTACATTTAAAAGGCATCTGGATGGGTACATGAATAGGAAGGGTTTAGAGGGATATGGGCCAAATGCTGGCAAACAGGAATAGGTCAGATTGGGATGTCTGATCAGCATGGACTGGTTGGACTGAAGGGTCTGTTTCTATGCTGTATGACTCTATGACAGTCTCCGGGGCTGTGGAGACTATAATTCCAATACAGTTCCACTTTCTGATCGTCTGCTGAAAGTGCTGGTGTCAGCTGATTGCAGAATCGGTCTGAGCTGTGAAGCACTCCATAGCCAAACAGCCTGTCCCTACTCACTCTCCAGACTGTGGCACGACACAGTGGTATTGCCTTCAGGAGAGCTGTTACTTTCTGAAGTTTTGTAGCTGTCCCTGAATCTGTGTTGTGAATGGGATTGAGCAGGTACAGCGCCAGTACAGGGGACGAGGAGAGCAGCCAAGCGTCCGGAGCTTATATATTCAGACCGAAACAAGATCATCCCTTCCCAGTGGCCAAGAACGTGAAGACTTACACAGTCCAGGTGAGGAGGAGTGTGACACCATTAGTTCAGTTTTTATTGCAAAATACAAGTGCCATACTTTGAGCATTGTGGCTACCTGATAGCCAATTGGCTAAGCCCAAAAGATTTCTCATATGAGGAAGCACCCGTACAGTGATGTTAGTTTTGAGGACATGTTTATCCAGGAGCCCAGAGCAGCTGGTGGAATTAAGTAAAATTATTGTCTGTAATGTTGACCGCAAAACTATCATTGATTGTCATACAAACCCATCTGGGTCACTAATGTCCTTTAGGGAAGGAAATCTGCCATTCTTATCCTAGTCCGGCCTCCAGACCCACAGCAATGTGGGTGACTTTTAACTTTGCTCTCAAATGGCCTCGCGAGTCATTTAAGAGCAATTAGGGGCATGTAGCAAGCTGCTGTGTTGCCAAAGGTACCCACCTCCCTCAGAGCGGACCACACAAAGCATGTGTGGTAGTCCTGCTCACTGATTTGGGAAATGGGTTAGTGGGAGAGATTACTCAGAATGGGATGTCGCTGCTATAATAACTTGTTCTCTTTTATCTGTTCTGCAGACCGATTTATTTCAAGAGGTTTATCAAAACTTTTCAAAGTGGTGCTCCCAAGTTGTTCGGCTGTACAAAGACCAGCGGTTTGTTGAACTTGAGTGGACTGTGGGGCCGATTCCAGTCGGGTAAATATCTAGAATTCCTGACAGACATGCTGATATCCTGCTAGTAACAGCCTGGGCTTGGGGCAGTGAGAGGGACAGACCTGGGAAACAGAGCATCAGGGACCTGCCTTTTGCCAATCTGTCAGAGTGTGTGCCATTCAGGATTCACAGCACAATCCATCTCTAAACACAGCAGCTCCTGGGGAAAGTGTTGCAGGACCTCAGCAGAAATTCACAGCTCTATTCCTTACTCTGTGGGTTCAGTGCAGGCTTAATTTCAACAAGGAGAAATCTCACTGGAAAATATAAGATTCTTAGGGGCCTTGAGAGGGTAAATGTGGAGAGTTTGTTTCCCCTTCTGGAAGAGTTTAGGACCAAACAGCAGAACCTCGGAGTAAGGGGTTGCACATTTAAGACAGCGATAAGGAGGAATTTCTTCTCTGAGGGCAGTGAATCTGAGGGTTGTTGAGACTGGGTTATTAAATATATCAAGACTGAGAGAGACAGATATGTAATCAGTAAGGGGGATCGAGGGTAATGGAGAAAAGGTGAGAAGGTGGAGTTGAGGATTATCAGATTAGCTCTGATCTCTTTGAATGGTGGAGCAGACTCGATGGGCTGAATGGCCTCCTGCTGCTCCTACATCTTGTGGTCTAATTCCGTTTCCCTTCTTTCTCTGAAACGTTAGTGACAGAATCGGCAAGGAAGTTATCAACCGCTTTGACACGCCATTAAAAACTGAGGGGATTTTCTACACTGATTCCAATGGCAGAGAGATCCTCAAAAGAAGGTGAGATCGGGAAATCACGGATGGAAACAGTTGTAAAACTGTAAAACTGTAGTCACTGGGTCCAGCCACCAGCTGATGCTGTTGTAGAGAAACCATAGCCAATTCACTAAAGAGCTGCATTTATATAGCACTGTTCCTGACTTTACAACATCCCAAACTGCTTTACAAAGCAGTAAGTACTTGCAAAATGATATTGCAATGTGTGTGAAACATGGCAACCAGTTTGTACACAGCAAGCTCCCACAAACAGGGATGAGAAAGGGAGGTGATGGCCTACTGGTATTGTCACTGGTCTTAATCCGGAGACCCAGGGAATGATCAGGGAACCCTGGTTCGAATCCCACCATGGCAGATAAATTCAATAAAAGTCTGGAATTAAGAATCTAGTTGTCGGGAAAAGCCCATCTGGCTCACTTATCCCCTTTAGGGAAGGAAACTGCCATCTTTACCTGGTGTGGTTTACATGTGACTCCAGACCCACAGCGATTTGGTTGAGTTTGAGCAATTAGGGATAGGTAGTAAATGCTGACCCAGCCAGCAATGTCCACATCCTGTGAATGATATTTTTTTTAGAAAAGTGTTGATTCAGCAGTGAATTCTGGCCCCAGGAGAGGGCAGTAATGCTACAGGATCTTTTACACTTCGGGCAGAGAGAGCAGCACGGCTGTCAGTTTACTATCTCAGTTACAGCCCAGTGCTCAGACGGCCAGCCTGGGTTCAGAGGACAGAGGCTATCACTGAGTCACAGCTGACCATGCGTGTGAAGTGAAATCTCAAGTCCCACCAGTACTCAGCATCAATATCACATTCCACATGGGATCTGCTACAGAGCTACCCGAGATAGGACAGTTCAAATTACACAATGGCAGTCAAAGAACAGGCATAACTAACTATCTTCTGTTTGGGGGCAGTATATTACTAATCATCTAAAACACTCTGTGGTATAATAGTGCTGTCCCTACCTCTGGACCAGGAAACCCAGGTTCAAGTCCCATCTGTTCCAGGCGTGTCATAACATTACTGCAGCGTAGGGGGTTGAGGGGTGACCTTATAGAGGTTTAAAAAATCATGAGGGGTTTGGATAAGGTGCATGACAATGGTTTTTTTCTCTAGGGCGGGAGAGTTCAAAACTAAGGGCCATATTTTTAGAGTGAGGAGAAAGATTTTAAAAAAGACACAAGGGGCAGTTTTGTTTTACAGAGAGTGGTTCTCGTGTGGAATGAGCTTACAGAGGATGTGGTGGATGGGGGTACAGGTACAATGTTTAAACAACATTTAGACAGGTTTATGAAAAGGAAAGGTTTGGAGGGACATGGGCCAGGAGCAGGCAGATGGGACTAGTTTAGATTGGGATTAGGTTTGGCATGGACTGGTTTTACCAAAGGGTCTGTTTCTGTGCTGTATGACTCTGAACAGAATGATTAGAAGTAAGTATTTCTCATTATCTAAAAGGCTTTGTGGTGCAGTGGTACTGTCTGTACCTCTGGACTAGAGAGACCTAGGTTCAAGTCCCACCTGCTCCAGACGTGTACTGACATCTCTGAACAGATTGACTGGAAGGAGAGAGAGTTTGTTTAATCTAGGTACTGTTCTGCATTCTAACATGTCCTTGTGCTCCAAGGAGAGATTACCGGCCGACGTGGCAACTCAAACAAACCGAGCCTGTTGCTGGAAACTACTTCCCGGTGAACAGCCGTATTTACATGAAGGTGAAAACTGTGTTATACTTAACTGTGACAACAAGGTGCAGGGCTGGATGAACACAGCAGGCCAAGCAGCATCATAGGAGCAGAGAGGCTGACGTTTCGGGCCTAGACCCTTCATCAGAAAAGGGGGAGGGCAAGGGGGTTCTGAAATAAATAGGGAGAGAGTGGGAGGCGGATAGAAGAGGGATAGAGGAGAGGATAGGTGGAGAGGAAACAAACGGGTCGAAGAGGCGGGGATGGAGCCAGTAAAGGTGAGTGTAGGTAGGGAGTTAGGAAGGGGATAGGTCAGTCCAGGGAGGACGGACAGGTCAAGGGGTCGGGATGAGGTTGGTCGGTAGGAGATGGAGGTGCGGCTTGAGGTGGGAGGAGGGGATAGGTGGGAGGAAGAACAGGTTAGGGAGGCAGGGACGAGCTGGACTGGTTTTGGGATGCGGTAGGGGGAGGGGAGATTTTGAAACTTGTGAAATCCACATTGATACCATTGGGCTGCAGGGTTCCCAAGCGGAATATGAGTTGCTGTTCCTGCAACCTTCGGGTGGCATCGTTGTGGCACTGCAGGAGGCCCAGGATGGACATGTCGTCTGAGGAATGGGAGGGGGAGTTGAAATGGTTCGCGACTGGGAGGTGCAGTTGTTTGTTGCGAACCGAGCGTAAGTGTTCTGCAAAGCGGTCCCCGAGTCTCCGCTTGGTTTCCCCGATGTAGAGGAAGCCACACCGGGTACAGCGGATGCAGTATACCACATTGGCAGATGTGCAGGTGAACATCTGCTTGATGTGGAAAGTCTTCTTGGGGCCTGGGATGGGGGTGAGGGAGGAGGTATGGGGGCAGGTGTAGCACTTCCTGCGGTTGCAGGGAAAAGTGCCGGGTGTGGTGGAGCTGGAGGGGAGTGTGGAGCGGACAAGGGAGTCACGGAGAGAGTTGTCCCTCCGGAAAGCAGATAA